GGGTTATTTTTAGGTTGGGCCTTGTCTTCTTTGGATAGGGCTTTTAGGTGTGGGTAGGGGTGTCAACGGGTCGAGTCGAGTCGGGTTTTCATGATACCCGACCCGACCCGACCCGAAATAATGAATATATGTGCTTGGCCCGACCCGAAACAAACCCGAACATGATATAGCTGCACAATCGGGTCGGGTTTGGGTCGGTTCGGGTTCGTGTTTAGAGGTTTACTAATCATTATTAAAAGTGAAACATCAGACCAGACGAAATCACCAAGATAGGAGAAATTTCACTCTAGCTAACTGGGCAATTCTCTTCTAAAGCTCCGGAAACTGACATAAACATGAATAGTACCACAAGCATCCAGATTATGGTCACACATATCAACACTAGGAGTTCTAAGCATGTTCTTCTATCTCCATGCAAGAAATGGAAATGCTGAGTAAATGCATATGCATCAGAACAATCCGAGAAGAAGGCTCAATGACGTAGACAATCGCAAACGATAGCAAGCGGAGGATTGAACTGAAATTTCCAACTCGATTTTCTCGATCAACTCCAGGAAAAACAAATTATCCTGCGCCGATATCGGCTCCTAGGCATCTTTCGCTACAACGATTAAGAATGCGACATCCAATTGCACCGAGGCCGACCCAATCGCGACCAAAACCGCGATCATCACTCGAGATCGCAGCGAACGACGCGGAAACAGAGCCGGAGGCTATTCCTCTTCCGAGAGAAGTCGTTCGGGCGCGGAACTGCGGGGGCGATGGGATCGGGCGGGAAGGAAGACTCACCCGGAAGGCTGGGACGACGACGGCGACCACTGCGACGGAGCCGGCGGAGCCATGGCGGCAGTTCCTCGGAGTCGGCGATCACGAGCTCCACCCAGGCGCTGGCGAGAGAGATCCGGCAATTGAAGCGGGGAGAGGGATCTCCGGCGGGCGAACTCAAAGCTCGCGAGAGCCTCGGATATGGAGGTCGAAGGGAGGAGGGAAGGCGACGATGAAGTTCCCGTCGCGAGGAGGTTTCCGTCCGTCACTGACTTCTCGGTCCGGAGCTTTGGAAGAAGATGATAGGGTTTCCGGCACGCTTGGAACAAGAAGGACATATGGCTCTTGTTTGTTTCGGGTGGGCTTGTTTCGGGCGGGCTCGGGTAGATCCAAAACAAGTTTAAGCCTTGTTTTTATTGTTACCCAAACAAGTTAAGGCCAACCCGACCCAGTATGAAAATTCCTTGTTTGGATTGGGTCGGTTCAGGTCGGGTCATGTTTGAGCGGGTACTTTTGACACCCCTAGGTGTGGGTATTACTAGGTTAGGGTAGGGTTGGACCCGACCCATTAACACCGCGAGACCACCCACGGGCCATAGTCCACACATCTCCCTCTCTCTCGTCTCTCCCGTTCTCTCTCCTCTCTCTCACTTTCTACGCGGCCGCAGAGTACGAAACCTACCTTCCTTGCAAAGCTCACTCCCTCCCTCTCTCCCCGGACTCCCCTGCAGCTCAGCCGTCAGTCCATCACCGCCGGCTGTCGCCCACGGTGATGTCGGTAATCTCTCTCTATCTCTAAGTTCGCCCTCGTGCGGACGAGACAAGAACACGAGCTTCTCAACGTTGTCCGGCGGGAAATTCAATAGGTGGCTCACCAAGTGCACTTTCTGTCGGCATTGTCTGTATCCAACGATGATGATACACAGATTTGTTTATTCAAAGTACACCAGAGAGAGAGAGAGAGAGAGAGAGAGAGAGAGATGCTTTCTTCCTCTTTTTCTTGATGGTGGGCGTTCGAAATTCATTTACCCACTTCGCAATTTCAAGGAATTCGATCATGTTTGAGTGCTGCCGGGTAATTTTGAGCTATGAGACCCAATTGTTTTTGAATTGACTAGATTTGTTCATCTTGATTTCGTACCGAGGTTTTCGAGAGAGAGAGAAAGCGCTTCCAGATTGTAGGGTAATTTGCGCGCACATACGGAAATGGAAGCGCATCTCGAATGGAACAAAATATCTTTGATGCACAGCCGCCCAATTCTGCTTCCGGGAGGGAGCTGTCCCGGTGCAATGTTTGTTGTGATAGAAACAAAAAGTCCCTCAAGCTAGGCGCGTGTAACATCATGGGAAACCACATAAAAAAGAGACACGTGTCAGTAACATCGCGGCGAACCACGGGAATAGAGACACGTGTCCCCGGCTCCCAGGTCGTGAACGGCAATCCGCAATCTTTTCGACACGTCGGATTGCTTCTGATTTCTCGACACGTCGAGAAAGATGGCTAAGATATTTTGTTCCTCCCACCCCCCAAAAAGAAAAAGAAAAAGGAAAAAGAAAAGGAAGAGGATCGCTAGATATTTTTCTCTTTCAGCTAACCGCTCGCTGTCACCACCACCACCACCAGTCGCGCGATGCGACTCGGCTGGAATCTGCCGCGACGCCGTTCATTGTTGACCCCCCGGGGGGGGGCGGGCCCCACCCACTCCCCCTCGACGAGCGATCTCGAGCCACACACACGATTCTTTGACGCCGCCGTGGCTTCCTTGGATTTCAAAAAGCAAAAGGCGAATCAAGCCTCCACCACACGTGGCGGCGTTCTCGGCCAGTGGATTTTGAACGGAGAAGAAGATAGTGTACGAGAAGGCTCCTTTGCCTTCCTCCTCCTCCTTCTTCTTCTTCTTTTCCTTTTGATTTTCTTCGCAAAATTGCCCCCATCCATGACGGAGATTATTTCGGTTTTTGGCACTCCCCGATCCTCCGCCGCCGCCGTCGCGGTGATCTTGCTGCGGACGAAGCCGTTTGCGGAGTTTGGTCGAGCGATACACGATGGTGGGGTCATGCGGTTCGAATTACATGGTATTTCGGGTCGGTTCTCGCTAGCTAGCCGCATGTTTTGAGGCCGAGTTATGGTCGAACTGACTGTTGGGTGCTCCCACATTGTAGTGTCGATCATCCATTCATTTGCTGGATCAAAGATCAGCTAAAGTTACGATTCAAACAGGTCCAAATGCGCGAGTCGTTGCCGGAAGTCCCGAAACTTGTTCCGAAAGTGTAATTGAGCTATAAAATTTTCAAAAAATGTAGTCGAGTCATAAAACCCATGAAGCCGGTGCAATAAAAAAGTTCTAAAACTTATTATTAGTATTTTCCGTTTGTCTAGTTGGATGGAGTATAATTAGAACTCGATTGTACCAATTTGATAAGCCTTATAACCCAATTAAATTTTCGCGATAAGTTTTTTTTAGACGCTAAGCACACTTATCCCCCTAAGTAAAAACTACCGAATAAGGAGCCAATCCAGAAACGACCGACCAATCGAACCACGTGGGACGCTCCCATTCTAGAAGCGCGGGGGGGGAGCATTATCGGAATCCCCGAAATCGACGAGCCTTTCCTTAATATTCCTCGTGACGTCCCGTTTTCTTTTTTCTTTTTTCTTCTTTTCCTCTTTCACGCTCGGGGGGCACGATTCGAACGAATGGCGAGGACGGGGGGACGCCGTCGACGCGCGACACGTGGCGACCGCCGGGGGGTCTCTTTAAACTCTTGGTAGAGGGAGGATCTGGCTCTGTGTTTGTTGGGGAACGGCGCTTTGGAGGGAGCGGTTGGGAGACGCGGGGGTTGGCTTGTGGTCGCGGGGCTGCGCGGCCCCACGCTCCCTTCGAGGGGGGAGGGAGATATTTTCGCGAGTCCCGACCACATGTATATATTTGAATATGATCACGTCCGCGTCATTTCCCATGAAGTCCCTCTCGACTTTCTCTCCCCCCCCCCCCCCCGCTTTGCAGACACGCCCCTCGACTCCCGGGGTTTCGCGCATTTAGCCCCGCCCCCCCCGTGCCGTTTTCTCGAGAACCCCTCCTCCTTCTTTTCACGCGGACCGATTTGCTTGTTGGCGCCGGTGCGTACAGTTTAAGGCGGGTCGTCTTCGGTCGATCTAACGATGGTAAGCTAAAAGTCTAGATGAATGCGGTTTTTATTAATATATGTGAAATTATCGTTATCATCAATCGTTACGTTACATGGGATCGTACTGCAATGATAGAATGATGCCGATAAAGTCATTTTAGCTCTAGAAAGAAATTAAAGTATTTCAGACGATTTTGAATTGGTTTCGTTGTCGACACCCTTTAAACATTGACGGTGTTAAAGATCACGTCTTCAATGCGAGAAATAATACTTAAAATCGAAATGTTCCAAAGCAAACGTCCTCGCTAAACCGGTCATTCATGAAGTCCCGTTCAAATAAGTTTGCTCATCGTTTAATACCGTCAAATGGTCGACTTCCCCTTGCGGGGCCGAAACATCCACGAAATACTATATAACTTTTGTTCTCATTATTAGAATTCACACATACGCCTAGCATAATGCACTTATTAAACATTAATTCGCTTGTACTAAATCTTGGGATTATTGGCTGGGGCACTCGTTCTATTTAGAGGCGAGGGAGGGACTAGATTGCAAAATGCCGGTAGTCTTTCGTGGGAAACGAGGTTTTTATGTGGATAAACGAGAGGCCTGGTCCTTTGCTCTCACCGGTGGAGGAGGCTGCGCTGACTTTTTTGCCCCTCTATGAAATACAGAAAAAAAAAAGGGGGCAAAAACATATTCAACAAAATACCTATCTCCTCTACCACGCATCGAATCGAACTAAGTAAAAATTTCAAAATAAATATATATTTTCTTCCCTAGCGGCCTCTTCTTATCGGCGACACCGAGCGACAATTTCGCACGCGCATTCGTAACTTTAAAAGCTCCGAATCATTCGAACCGCATATTACACGACTAATGCGATCGAGACCAGTTTGGAAAGATTAACGAAGTCCCACCGCGTAGCATGCTTTCTCAAGAACCGCTAGCATCATTTAAATGTTATTTACGAATTTACGATCCTGCCCTCCGACCGGCCCACCGTTTCCTTAATTTTTCTCTCTCTGAATCTCTTTCTCTCACGCCATTGTGCCCCCTCGGCCACCCATATAATCTCCTGGCCTCCCTTCCTTCTCTCTCTCTCTCTCTCTCTCTCTCTATATCTGCGCACGGCTTCTGGAGGACGAGGAAGACGAAGAAGAAGAAGGAGGAGGAGGAGATAGCGCGAAAGCTCGAGCTTTGCGGCGGCGACGGCGACGGCCCGCGATGATGAAACCGACTCTCTGCGAGCTCTGCAAGGACGCCGCCGCCGTCTACTGCCCCTCCGACTCCGCCTTCCTCTGCGGCGGCTGCGACGCCCGGGTGCACCAGGCCAACTTCCTCGTTGCCCGCCACGCCCGTATACCCCTCTGCCCCGGCTGCTGCTCCCCCACCGGCCGCCGCTTCTCTGGCTGCGGCGGCGCTGGCGGCGCCGGCCCTCGGCCCTCCGTTCCTTGTCTCTCCTGCGCCGATCGCCCGTCCGCGGAGGGCGCCGGCTCTCTCCCCGCTTCGCCGTCCTCCTCGGCTTGTATTTCCAGCACCGAGTCCTCGGCCATGGCCCCGAAGAAGGAGGGCAGGCGCTCGAGCGCGGGCCGGAAGCTCGACAGGGCCGGCGTATCGAGCTCCCTGACGGACGCGTCCGGCGAGGGGTCCGATCCTCCGGCGAGGTTCGACGGCGCGGCCGCATTCTCCGGCGAGGTCAGCTCAGGGGAGAGGAACGGCGGGGCCGACGATCGGAGAGCTAGGACCGCGAGATCCCGAGAGACGACGCGCATAGATCCCAAGGCGGAGGGCGTGTTCGCGATCTGGTGCAGGAAATTGGGGCTGAGCGGCGGCGAGGCGGCCGCCGTCGCCTCCCGCGCCCTGCGCGTCACCGTGGCGAGGCCGACGGCCTTGCCCCAGAGAGTCGCCGTGGCGGCGTCGTTCTGGGTGGCGATGAGGTCGCGCAAGGGCAGGGGGATGTCCACGTGGCAGAACCTGAAGAGGGTGGAGGAGGCGTCGGGGGTGCCGGCGAAGCTGATACTGGCGGGCGAGGCCAAGCTCGTCCGCGGGGCGCGGGCCGAGAAAGCGCGGCGGGAAGAGCGTCTGGAGGAAGGCTGGGCCGAGTGCACGGCCTGAGCCCGAGGCCGGCCAGCCGGAAGCTGCGCATTGCCGTATGGTTTTCGCTCACCTGTACGTACGAGGGTAGCTCTCCCGTAGCTTAGGACGTGGTAGTAGTGGATCCAGTTCCCATTCCAAAACAGACCCAAGTTTTGAGGTGATCATTATTACTTCTTCCTTGCTCACTGACCGAAAGGAAAAAAAGAAGAAGAGGAATTTTACAATCCCCCCCTTTTGATGAGTGGCCAATGTCTGGTTGCGTAGTAGTGTTCTTGTTAGTCATTACAATATCGTGTAAATGCTTGATCTTGGTGTATATTTGTCGAATCGAATGAATGCGCTTGATGTGTGTGTGTGTGTGAATATCTTGTTCTTGGGGTTCTAAACGAAATGCAATGAAATAGCTTCTTTGATGGCATCATGTGAGCTGTGGGGAACATGAGGGGGGATGGGTCCAGTTCTTTCTATGTCTTAACCCCTGTGGAAAGAGACCCCTCTTTCGATTCTAGCCGCGGCCGCCATTCGAGCTCGCTGTCGATCGATCCCGAGACAAATCCGATCCCTCCCTTCAAACCGAGGGATGAAACCCACTTGGCCAAAGATCATGGCCAAAGATCTACTGCAGTTCAAGATGATCTTTGGCCAACGATCTGGAGAGTTGCAGAAAGAGAGAGGCAGGAGGAGGGCATGAGGAGGATGAAGGGACAAGTGGGTGGTGTGGGGGGGGTGGGGGTGGAGGGACGGGGACATGATGAGGATCCACCAACCGAAGTTGTTGGCTCTAACGATTTGCGTGAATGCGAAGCATCGTATGATGCCAGATTCTTTCTTTCTGGTACAGCAGCAAAGCGGTGAGAGATCGCAGATAGCCAGATAAATTATTCAAAAGAAGAGGTCTGAAACGGCGTGGGGGGGGTGGTGGGATCGTTTGAACGTGAGGCGGCATCATCGACGCGAGGTGGTGAGTGGGGGCGGCGGAGGAGCGTTCTTGTGGTTGTGGGCGAGGCTTAAAGCTTCTTTAAACAATGCAATTCATTGCAGAGAGAGAGAGGGTTGGTTGGGTGTGGGTGGTTTGAGATTCTGGGGGTGACGTGGTCCACCGGCACCGTACTTCCGACATTTCTTTCTAAGGAAGTCATCCTCGTGGGGTTCGTTAACGTCACCTGTCAATAAAAATCTCTTAACGATCCTTCGGAAGGAAGAGCGCCACTCGCCCTAGACATTCGCGTGAACATTTGTTCGATTGTTCTCAAAGCGCCACTTTTCTCTCGCATTTTCATCAGATCAATGTATTGTTGATAATGAAAGTAATTTTTTTTACTAAATATCGAAGATGCTCGTTAATAAAACTATTAAGAAATCAATCGGTAAATATTGACCACCCCTCTCTCGTCTCTCGCCCTTTAAATCTTTCTGTTTGTCTTTACTGTTTTCCAACACGACAAGTTAGATGGATCTTCTAGTAACCTATGAAAATGGGGAAATCCTACGAGATTACTATGTTTAAAGAGAAATGCTTATGCGATTGTTCTTAATCCATTATGAGATTAACAGCTTATTTTAGGCCACAAACAATAAAAAACAAAATAATTAGAAATCGTGTGAGGTTATCTCATTCAAGAATTTGTGGATCACGGCATGTCGTTATTCTTATGGTGGTTTAAATATTATTATGCTAGCAAAATCTATGTTTAAATTACGTGTCTAGGAGTAGGAAGAGAATATGAAATAAGTCGAGAGGGAAGTGCGACCTCGAGGGCCACTTGGCTCACCGTCCTTTGAAGCTTTTTGTTCATGATCAGTGAACTATAGAACGTAGCGAACAATCCCATCAAGGTTAAGAGTTTCCGTATGAGAATCAGCGATTAAAGGACAACGTGCGATTCGACAGCAAGCTCTCTGAATGATTACCAGTCTTCACGTATTTAGCGATTCCATGTAGGTCATGACTCCCAGAAGATGTCTCCTTTTTTACTAGTCTCCTTGACATTGCTTGCCTTCTTCGCCCGACATGTTTTGCTAGTACGACATGACATGTAATTTAAACTGTGCGGCAAATATTGGACACTGTTGTGTTTGAGATGAGTCATCTAATAGCTCAATCGACCGAGGTTTTGTCCATCTCATTAAAAAATCAAAAGTCAATAGGCTCGACCTTAATCCTCAATGTCGGAATGATGTTGTCTGATTGACAGAGAGCATTGATTTAGTAATAAGAAAACTAATTTAACCCAGTTCGTAATTCAGGCAATAACTATATAAGATCCTTACTCATTACATGTCAACAATCTCTTGCTCTCCACACGAGATATCGTGATTGATACATGTCAATTAATTTAACCATGCATCGACGTCTCCCAATTGGCTCACCAAGTGTCCATGTTATAGCTTAATGGGAAAATGACATGAAAAATCTCTGAATTTTGACCTCAATGTGCAATGTAATCCTTGAATTTTTAATTATTTCAATGTGATCTCCGAACTTTAATTCAATGTTTAATGCGATCTCTGAACTTTTAATTTGTATAATATTATTCATAAACTTTTAATACATATTCAATATAATTCTCCAACCTATACCTGCTATTGCACAGTATGGTGCGGGTGAAAGTTACCCGTTACAGCAAACAGATTCCAAAAACCCAATTTTCCTTTTTGGGCAAATCCAAATCCAAGTTACCGATGGTAATAAACCTGCTTCTTTTGGGAGCCGGAGGATGTCCCCGTGCAACCTCAAAACAACAAAAGAACACAGCAGCCAGCACACCCTCTTAAACCCACTACTGCACCCTGCGCGATCCTAGCTCCTCAGATTCTCAATCTCAAAGTTCTCAGCTTTTCCCTCAAGAAGCGTTTCTCTTGTGCGTGCTTTTCGTCTCTTTTTCTGCTTGCTTTTCGATCCATGGAGGCTTTTTCGAGCACGGTGTTCGTGTCCCGAGTCCCCGAGACATGCCCAGTTCTGAGCAGCCCCGTTTGTTCGATCAAGTCGCCCAACCAGCGAATTGGGTGTCTCCGGATGATCGAAAGTAGTCACTTTGGCGGGCTCAGAGCTTGCGCCTGGACGTCCCAAGGGCTCGGCGAGGGCGAGGGCGAGGAGGATAGGCCGTCGGATAATGGGATCGATTTGATGTCCGAGGATGCTGTCTCTCCTTCCCAGGTATTGTTTAGTGTCTGTCCAAGTTCTTAAGTTCTTTTCTCCCTTTTTAACTGTGGTTTTGATGACGACTCTGTGCGTGACTCGTATCACCTTGATGGGTTTATGCTTGTTTTGGCTAGCTTGAGAGATGAGTGGCAGAGATTTTGGGAGAGAATTGTAAATGTGGTGTGTTCACTTGTTCATTCGGTGCTGAAGAGAGAATTGGTATGACTAGAATGCTGTAACATAATCATAGAAAAACCTACAACTCTTGTGCGGTTTCTTTTTTTGCAACTTGGCTTGCAGGGGGAAGTCTCTGATCCAGACTGAACGTAGTATTTAATTGTAAAGAAATGAGTTTGATGTTAGGAAGTCACTGGCCGAGCATCTATGTAGTACCATTGACAAACAAGCTGAAGGCTTTCTGGCCTACGCATGATTTTTTGGGAGGAAGAATATGCTGCCTATCTGCCCGCTCAACAACCTAGGCCAGATTAGGCATAAGACGAGTGCTGCGTTAATGCAATCAACAATTCGGATGTTTCTATGAGGAGAATAAGGACAAATGATGTATGGAGAGTCTCTAGTTACCTGTTGGGAATGGTTAAAGCACTTTTATTATATGCTGTCATGTATTATGGCATTTGTGGTCCAAGGTAGAGTCAAAGTGTCCCAGAGAATTTTTGTCCTAACTAAACAGCCCGAACTCTGAAGAAGCATCCTCTTGCCCTAGATTCGTAATATTCTCTGTTTTTGTTTCCATTTTGCACATGGAAGCCGTTCTTGCTCTTTGACATGGTGGGTGGGGCCGTAACTTTTGATCTGAACTTGTTGAGATCAGTTTGTCGTTGGGTCAGACTTTGCTGAACATACCAAGTCTCATGAATTCATAGTTATTGATGATTGTTCGCCAGTTATTGGGGAAAGGAGAACAAAGCCTGGAAGTCAGATTCTTTGATGCTTAGATATTTGGCGAAGTGGTTCATTTAGTTGGATACTAGAACTAATAGACCAGTCAGTGTCAGGGAAAGTGTTATTTGAGCTGATTTGGCCTATTGATTACTTAGCGTACTCATCCATGGGTGCTTCGGAGACTACTGCGTGATAGAAGAGCTTTGTATCTTAACTCTCTGGAAATATTTTGCTCCTGATAATGTTGGCAATCATTTTACTTCTCAGATGTGCAATGCTGCTTAGATATTTTGCCTTTGATGAGAGATGATGATAGTTCGAGTTTATTTTCCCCATCTTATTGTCCTTTGCTTATTGGGCTAATTTCAACCATGTGAGCATGGAAATTCCTGTTTTAGCGCAGTGTGTTATTGAAGGCTTTTGTATTTCTTCGTTAACCTAGTCATTATACATTTTCTTGTCTTAAGGGTGATGTGAGGCTGAACCAACACAGTGAAATGAATGTGGATAAGACAGTAGAGAATGAGATGCCTCTTTCAGTCCCATATGGAAGCGGCACGAGAGCTGGGCTTTTCAGAACACCAATATCTGGTGGGGTCCAAAGTGCAACCTCGGCTCATGGTTTACCTCGGCCAGCATTGGCAGTTCGCAATCTGATGGAGCAGGTAAGTTCTGATTCTTGCTCATTTCTGTCAGTCTTCAGTGAGCACATATCGATGGAAAAACCTGTCTTTTGGCTTTGGTTCCCTCCCAATTGTGTTATTGAGTAGATTCTTCTATGCTGAAGCTGACATGTGTGATTCCAGGCCAGATTTGCTCATTTGTGCACCGTAATGTCTCGGATGCATCATCGACGGGAAGGATACCCATTTGGTTCGCTGGTGGATTTTGCACCCGATCACATGGGCCGTAAGTCCCTAATATTCCTAGTTTCGGTTGGAGACATAGGCGTTGTTGAAATGTTAGTGATATGTGGTGAACTCTCTGAATTGTGCACCTTACTCAAGAGTCTTAACACTATGATTGTTAGTGTCGGGTGGAGACCAGCCTCCTGTTTCAATTATCACGTCCAGCTCAATGACTAGTACAGGAGTTTAAACTATATTTGGCATTTGGTTGATCCATTACTTTAGACTGCTTTTATTAATTTTGAAAACTTTGTTTGCAACATCAACATTTCTCTGGTAACTTGGGCTTAACATGGTTGACTTGAATATTTTGTCTCAGTTATGATTTTTATTATTGTCATTCCCCTTATCATTGGTTGTAATAGATATTGCCTTGTTTGATATTGTAGACCCTATATTTTCGTTTTCACCCTTGGCAATCCACACAAGGAACTTATTGGCTGACCCTAGATGCACCCTAGTTGTGCAAGTAAGATTCTTTTCTTGATGGTCTGATTTTTAATTTCTCTTTGTCTGGATTTAATTAATTGGTTGTCCTTTTGTCCCCTCAGATACCTGGATGGAGTAGCTTGTCAAATGCGAGGGTGACCATTTTTGGTGATGTTTATCCCCTTCCAGAAGACCAGCAGGTGACCATTTTTGGCTTGACAAATGCGACGCTTTGTTTGAGAATGTTGTCTTATGGATTTAAGTAATTTGTCCCATTGAACTATTGGGAGTTAGAAATGCCAGAAATACAAATTATGTGACTCGTGACTTTATTTTCCTTCTTGTCTTATATTGTGGTTTTAATTCAGCTGCTATTTGCTTCCAGTTCCATGCATCTGTTTACAAATAGCATTTGCATAAATTATGTGGCAAAAAAGTGGATCCCCCTATTGGTATTAATTTCTCTGTATGATATTCCTATTTTGGTTTAGTTATTTTGTTCATGAGCTTTTTGTGTTGCTAGGAATGGGCGCATAAGCAATACATGGCTAAACATCAGCAAGGGCCTTCCCAGCAGTGGGGGAATTTCTACTATTTTAGAATGCAGAACATCAGGTGCGTCTTTGGTTTTATCATGTAAATGCTATCTTTAAAGTGGAGACATGGATGTTATGTCACATATGGTTGTCTTTGATGATAATAATCTTTGCAAAAGCAAGTTATCCATTTCCTATTTCTCTTTTTGGTGGTTTGGTCAAGGCTATCCATTTCAAAGGGGCTTCTAGATCTTCACAGAGAGCTAAGTTTTGATTCAAGCAGGAACTATTTGCCTGCTCCTGCATGTAAAAGGATGATGTTGATTATGAAATAAATCAATCTCTCTTGATCTAAAGAATGATTTCATATGTTTGTTATGGTGATTGGTCATAACAATCCCATATCATGTTGGAGCAAGCTCTACTTTTGTGACTGGAGAGATCAAAATGGTGCTCAGATTTATTTAGATCAACATCTCATTTCCAATAACTCTTTGGTTGCTTATTTACTGGCTCTACTCTGACTATCAAATTACATCAATTTGGTCTTATAATCCACACGCTAATAATATATCCTATCTTTGAAGTGTGAAATATAGCACTTACATTGTAATGATTTATTTTAACATGCATTTGGACAATCTGAAAGGAAAATAATTACGTTTACACCTTTATCATTGGATTGTATGCCAATTCTTTTTCCCGTGCCTTTTGTGACTTACTCTTCTTATCATTATTTTATGTCTTAGTGAGGGAACTAACTTTATTTGTGGCCATCAGTGACATATACTTTATTGGAGGCTTTGGCACTGTTGCTTGGGTTGATGTCAAGGAGTACGAGTCCTTAGAACCTGATAAAATTGCAGTTGATGGAGGCGAGCAAAATCTAAAGGTTGAACTGTTAAACTTTACTTTCTGAAATAAAGATTAGGTTGTTGCAAAATATGTGAACCATCTTTTCCATGTATTTAATTGATGCGATTTATCATCGTCATCATCGTCGCTGTCGTAGAACTTATTATCCATTTTATTTGGTAAGAATCAGAAGATGACAAGGATTTGCTGATATAGGGTTTTAGATGAATATACTCTTTATCCTTCCTGAATTTCCCTGGACAAGTTATTCTCGTTGTACTTGTCTGTTGTAGCAGGGGCTTAATGTGGTGTATGTCTTCATCTCCAGGAACTCAATGCAATATTTTCTAAGCCCTTAAAAAGGCTTCTGTCGACCGAAGGTGAGGTAGACGATGCTGCTCTTATATCAATAGACAGCAAGGGAACTGATATTCGTGTCCGGCAAGGTGCACAGGTACTTGCGCCATGTAACGATGTGATTTTGCTCTCTGCATGTCACTGGTGGTCCTGTAATGAAATTCATGTAGTTCTTTTTCTGCAGTTTAATATACAGAGGATATCATTTGATGAAGGGCATGCTGTCGAAACCTTGGAGGAAGCTAAGGCTGCCCTTTGGAAGCTAATCAATAAGGGTAAAGTGCCATATTTGCAGAAATAGAAGACAGGGGTTGATGTCAACACAATCTTGATTTTTCAGGACCTTGTTCACCAGAGAGGTGATTAGAAGCGAGTGATGGATGACAGAGCTACCGAGCCAATCATTGCATCATTCTTGAAGTTTTGCTGTACTTTGAATGTGTTTGTATAAATTAGGACATGAGAGTAAAATAATTAGGCACTCTCGCTACTTCAAATAACATAGCTTGTTCTTAGCTTCTTGGCAATTGTTTGATTCTCGGTAAATTAATGTTGTATTTTTAGTTTCTCTTGCGGGATCAAACTCTCAGATCCGAGTATTGACCTATACCCCGCTCTTATCTGCTGCGCGCCATCATACTCTTTTGGCAGTGATCTTTTCTGGGATACCAGTTTTGACAGGCTGTGCTGGAAGTAGAAAGGATCATCACGAATTTTTGAATTCCATAACAAGAGAGAAGTAATCCCTGACTTCTGTTTTGTGATTGAGAACTGAATTGCTTGTACATCATCATTCGCAAGCACAAAATGGAGGTCAAAAGTCACATCTGAAACGCAACACACTGACAAGGCCAAAACCCAAGAAATGCAACATGACAAAGTAAATAAACAATCCTCTTGATTTAACACAGAAGACAATCTGCTCAATAACGTAACATTCCCCCAACTACATCAAAGCCAACCCCCCATTACAAGAGCTAAAGCCCTGTAAAAATATGGTAAAAGAAAGAATTTTTCTTAAAGCTATACACAAGAGGGAACAAAAACACTTCTCAATTTTAAAATCATCCCAATCTGACTGCCCCATGTAACTATGAAACATCGCTACTACCGCCAACATCAACAAAGCAAACAAAATATTTGTCGACAGAAGGAACAGAGTTTTCACACACATAGTGCTACACAGGTATTACATCGATTTTTGATGTGTCTTCGCATCTCAGAACAATGCCATCAAGGCTCGCGGGAAATATACATCGCGCCCATTGGCATCCAGTGGTAAATGGTTCAGGGGGAGGCACGATCATGAGCATGTTATCATTCCTCTGGACGATACCCATCACGCTGACTGTACTGCCTTCTTTGATGTACCTGCAATAACAGCAAAATCAAATTCGACGTCATCACATAGAGCATTACATATGTTCATGTCCACATGGTAGCTGGAACTACTGGGATGATTAAAAACAAAGTCTAAGAAGCATGCCAAATGACAATATACAGGTCATATCTAGCATAGATAACCCACAATTCACTTCAAATTCATCTTTACATCCTTGCATGCACCAGAGACATGCTTGTTTATTTGGAAAAAAATGTGGACAGATCTTATTCTCTCTTTAGCCTAAGTATGCTCGACAACTACCGCAATTCAAATAGATAGACAATGACTAGGGTGCATAAGAGATAACAATAAGTGGCAATTATAGGTTACATCAAAACCTCCATGTGCTTTCTTTACTTAATATTCCAATATATATTATCCATTAAAGGTTCAGAGGAACTTTTACCAAAATATTCGCGGCCACCAAATGCTATCCTTTCAGATAACATCTGTCAAATGGGAATGCTATAAAACGAAAAATTTCAGTGTCAAATGCTGGCCAGATAGCTCTAAAGCTAGAGTACTTACATGCCTGAGACACAAGGCCTGCTACCACTGGAGACAATGCTCATAGCTGAGGCAGAGCAATTAAAAACATATGGCAAAACAATTCCAAGGCAGAATTTTACAAGTAAGGAAATCAGTTTACATGTTGAATACGTGTTCTTTACGGCTAGTAGAGAAGGGAAACAAAGATATGCACTCTCCTACACAGATGATCATGATACAGATTACATTAGGCTATAAGACGAATATTCAGGAACTCTTTACCCTTCTTTCAGTCGCATCACACGATCATCACTTGAGAGGTTCCTCTCCCCCAGCCACCTGATGAACTCGGGAGACATATCCTTATTTGATGGATTAACATCAATGATAATGGAATCATCCACGTAAGGAGTAACCCGCGCACCATAGCCAGTCTTGACCAAAGCTCTCAATCCAGACTGGAAATCCGAGATGTAGAAGTCCACAACATGTCTCTGTCATTAAGCAAGAAGAAATATAGCATTTAGAAATGCCAAAACCCTTAAAAATCTGTGAGAGCATGCTGCTTTACAGCCCCAAAGATTGTCGTAGCAAAACTCAAAAGAACCAAACTTGGTCGAGGGTGTGAGATCCAATCAAGATGATGATCGATTTTTTGTAAGTCTATTGAAAGAATAAGCCATAAGCCAGGAAGTGATGCATCAAATATTTTGATGAAGAACGGTGTCAAGAATTACATTCAGAAAGAACAGGTTTCCTACGTGGATTATAATTCGAAGAAATGAATCAACCATGGGAACAAATTAAAACATGACAATACGATCAAACATACAATGATAATTAACCTACTTATAAAAACAAATTAATGATGCTTAACTTACTTCTGCTGATCTAAGTCCCCATGTAAAACGACGATGTTTAGGATTGGCTGCTTTCGAATCCCAACCTCTATACTCATACAAACTTGTAGATGTATAGACACATCTAGGCACTTTATGGAAAGATGACTGAAGGGGCACATTACCACATGTGATCACCTGTAAGAATTACACATGATTATAAGGTGAAATCGAGGGAATCCCTACTTAAGGGAGAACAAATGAGACGGACCCAAAATTAACTTCCTTCAATAATGAGATGAACACACAAATTACTGAATACAGCTTCCAAACTTGACTGAAATCCACATACATCAAAATGCCAAATTCACCAAAGCTTTGATTCATACGCTCTCTCTCTCTCTCTCTCTCTCTTCCATTTCGTACTTAGTATGTACCCACATCATCCACTCTCTCTCTCTCTCTCTCTCTCTCTCTCGCGCGCGCGCACCATTTCGTGCTTAGTATTGCAAGTATATACCCACATCATCCATGAGACATGCCTAGGTGTCTACATTCCTCATCCCTCATCGAAGTATAGGTCCATTTTACCAACATAGGCTTCCAAAGCTTCATATAAAGGACACGTAACTTCTCCCTCCTTTCTTCCACCTATGTATATACCGTAAATGTATTGCCATTTCTCTTAAAAGCTAATAGAGCAAACATATCTCATGTCCATATTGTTAAAGAACTGTTCTGACCACCTTCCAAATAGAAAGTCTTAACACAACATTCCAAGAATGTCAGCCATCCGCACATCAGAGTGCACCTGGGTTTCACTCTTTAATGGTTAGGCTCAACAACCAATGTCCAGATAGAAAATTTCAGGAAAATACATCCACATCATCAGAGGGCACCTGGGTTTCACTCTTTAATGGTTAGGCTCAACTACCAATGTCCAGATAGAAAATTTCAGGAAAATACATCCACATAATTCCAGCATAGAACATGCAAATAAAGATCCTACTTGACCCATAAGGGCTTTGAAAGTGGCATACCCCTGAGACCTTCACAAACTGGCCGTTTTTTGCAGTTCTGAGATCGCTATCAGGATAACGCGCGATATAGTCTGTGATAGCCTTTCGTCCCCTGCAAGTGTTCCATGTGAACAATGTGGCAACCAAGGCAAAGAGGACCACGACCACAATTAGAAGAATGGCATTGTGAACAGCTCCAAGTATAAAACCACCAGCAATAAATCCCATCACGAATATTAGAATCACCGACCAGATTATCGACTTCGGCAGGTTCCTCAAGAAAGATGATTCATTATCTTGGGTTAGAGTAGTAACGGCTTGAAGGTGAGCAACAGAGCTTTGAAGTTTCACTGACCCAACAGATTCAAGTGGTCCAGACACTTTTCGAGGGGCCCCGGATGAGTTCAGTGGACCTGAGGAAATAGGACCTGATGTGATGAGACCTGTGGTTGGAAGAACTGGAGGGATAGGGCCAGAGTTTTGGCGCGTAACTCCACCAGATTGAGGACCAGAAGACTTTTTTATAGGTTCTCCATGTTTATTTAGTGGCCCGGAATTCGTCTTCTTCATTGAAGAAGAACCGGACATCTGACCAGAAGTTACAGGACCAGATGCAGTGTAGCTTGCCCGACCAGAAGTATTATGCATAATAGGACCGGAGTGTGAAGCAGCTCCACCAAAAGATCCAGTCCTCGAAGGGGCACCTGCAATAGGCCCTGATTTCCTAGATTTGGAGCCATCTGTAGGGATGTCAAACATTTTACCCAGTTCTCCAGATTTTTTTATGTCACCACCTGTATAGGGCATGGCAACGGAACTCATGGTCGGAGTCTTTTCCTTCGGCTGCTCTGGCCGCCCTGATACGTATAGGCCATTGCTTAGCTGATGAGATGGAAATCTAGAACCCATCCAGCCTATCTAGAGAGGCCACGAAGAAACCAAAGTATATGCTACAGATCAATAGGAGTTCAAGTATCAGCAAAACGCCTGCAGATAAGAATGAAAAAAACATGCTGTTTAGTAGACTTAGGGGAGACAAAAGTAGAAGTAATAACAGGCAAACCTAGTCCTGAGAATAAAAATGTCAAAGGTAAACACCAACTCGACAAGCAACTGATGACAAGAGAATTTGAACAATGAAGAATCATCAGCTGAAGAACATCTGCGAACTACCATTTGAAGTCACAATTATAAAACTACCAGTCTGGGCGATACAATTTTGGAAGACAGAAAAAAACAGAACGAGGAAAATGATATCTAAAAGCTTCAAAAAGCACAAAGCAACTAAGTACGGCGACATATGAAGCCTGTTGTAATATTAAAAGTACATATATAGGAAAGTATTAGTTGGTAAAGCTTTTGGAAGAGGCAAAAAGCATGTAAAATCAAGTTTATCACGAGATCCTATTTTCAAACCAGTTCAGCAGAAAACAAAAGATAACTGAAATAGTGAAGTGTGGAATAGCAGCATTAAAAACCTATGACCAGATCAAGCACACGATTTGACAAATCCAAATACACAAGATTAAACAATAATCACGGAAGAGGACTAAGCGCCCACCAAACATAATATAAGAGGCAACCAGTACGATATCCGGGAAATAAAGGATAAACGTGCCATGTGCTTGACAGTATCACCTCCAGGATAGCCAAGTGTTTCTCACAAAAACGAAAAGGCCAAAGAGAAAAAGAACCATATCCAGGAATAGTACATGGTATACTAGCCAAACCAAAAAACTATAGTAAATACTAGATAGTACATTTTTTATGAGATGGAACCACCTCGGCTCATAAGGTACTTACTTCTTCACAAGTAAAAAGCCCGCAATAAAAACTCATTTTGGCCACTTCTCTTCCAAATCTTAGCAAGCAATAAGAGTAATATGTTACTTGCGATTCCAGAGTGGAAGAATACGGTCCCCTTATAAGATTCCTACAGAAGAATTTCCCGAACCAAAATACCAGAAGCATTCCACCCCACTCCCCCTCTCCCCCAAAAAAATTGCAAGAAGCTTGCTCAAACAAAGCAGATCTGAAGCGAGATTACAGACTGAACTTGTAAGCGTACCGTTTGGATCGAGAGAGGTTTCGAGCAATACGTAAAGGAAAAATCCCCAAAAGAATATGCTCAAGAATGCGTCATCTCTCCGTTCTATACCCGAGATCCAATCATTGAGTTGAAGCATTCAACATTTTTCAACGCTGAGAATGTCGCATTCGCTATACTATTTTTCTTTTGCCATTTCCAGCAACACCAACTAAACAGGAGCTCAGATGGGGAAACGAGAACGAAAAGAAGTGGCCACAGTAAAAGTCAAAGAGATAGAGACCAGAATGCTAGATAAGAGAACTAAGTCCAAAAAGTTAAAAAGGATGGCTCTGAAAGGACTCACTACCCAACTCAAGCCAAAACAAAAATCAACCAATGACCAGATCTGCATTTTGAACACACCCAGTAAAGGGAAACAACATTAAAGAAGATGGGGATGGACAAATGCGCCAGAAGCAGCCATAACCCGGCGAAAGGGAAGACCTTTTTCCCTTGGGGAATTCAAGACTTCGAAATGCAACGAGCCCAGGAAAGGAAACAAGAAAGCGAACGGACCATACCTGCGAAAGAAGAAGAAGACGACAAAGAACGGCGAGTATCCTCAAAGGAAGACGGCGGGGGGGGATCAGAGACAAGGGAAGTGGGTGGAGCCGGAGTGAAGGAACTGAGATCTCGTCGACGACGCCACCACACTCGCACTCACAGTCGCCATCTCCATTCTGTTTTCCTCTCTTTCTCTCTCTTGCGAGAGCCGCAACAACTGGTGGTTGTCTTGTCCGGCAAAAACCACCAAATAACCCCCCCAGGTTCTCCCCTTTTCCTTAAATTTTTAAAAACAGAGAGAGAAAACACCTTAAATTATTTTGGAGTGAGGAGCTGTTTCTCCTGAAAACACACCCTTCCACCTTCTCTGTCTCATCATGTTCTGTCCTCTCTCTCTCTCTCTCTCTCTCTGATCCTTTTCTGCTCTCCAAGGACCAAAGTGACCTGATCGTGCTGTTGAATTGTCGTGACTGCCCCTGCTCGGTGGCATGACCGGGGGTTTCTTGGAACATTCCTCGTGGAAAAATGATGAAGTCGACAGCTTAAAAAACTTGGCTTGATGATCGGTTCCAGCTAAAGAACATGAGGTTGGCAAATTGCATACTTTTACCAACGCCATATAAAATGACGGTGGTCATATATATCAAAACTGATTCGTTAAACGGGTAAATAACGCAATAAACATATATCGAATGCGACGTATTACTTTACAAACTCGTTCATAAAATATTATCATATCGCCTAATGTGCGCGGACATAACTTTTCTTATCTTATTATCTAGCATTTACTCATGAGATTATCACAGATGGTTCTGATATTACTGTACACAATTCACTGTTTCAATGGGAATTTTTCGGGTCAAATTTCGAGTTGTTTGATTAGGGGCGCCCCTAATTTATCAGATGATGGTGTGCCTTGCTCAGTATCGAAAGATTTGACCATACATTACGGCATGGAAGGAGCCCAGACTCCCCCACCTCATATATTTAGTTGCTGACATCACGTGGCTCTGGCAATTATATAGATCTTGAAATGTACATTTTTCCCCCGGGTTGTAGGAGACGATGTAACCGTCGTGTGTTGTGTTATGTGGGTCGATTGCAAAAACAAAGCTTTCGAAGCAAAGAACCGAGGAGGTGGGCTTCATTGGTGTGTGCAAAAATTAGACAAAATGTCACTTTTTCAACACAATAAAAAGGAAGAGAGTAAAACCCTTTGAAAACAGCAGACTCACACGGTCACTGCACATGAGAGAAGAACAGATCAGTCAAAGCTAATTTGATAATTTGAAACTCGAGAGGCAAGATGACATACTCAGTAAATACCAAGACTTTCTTGACTGACAACATGGAGACAGTCTAGTCTGTCTTCAAAGCGCGAAATCTACATGAAATCCCCCACCCATTACAGAGGCAATAGCCTTATAAAACATGAAAATAACGAATTATCTCCAAGCTATACACAAAAAAAGTCAAAAACGAGAGGGAGAAAACGCACTTCTCCATGTTAAATCACCAAACTCATTGCACCATATTATCACTATGAAACATTGATATTACCTTCTCACATTAAAAAAGCGAACTGTGTATTTGCCTGAGAACAGGAGGACGAGTTCGTGCCGAGTCTGTTACACAGGGATTACATCGATCTTGGATGTGTCTTCGCATCTCAAAACAATGCCATCGAGAGTTGCTGGAAATATAAATTGTGACCATTGGCATCCAGTGGTAAATGGCTCAGGTGGAGGCACGATCATCACCATGTTGTCGTTCCTCTGGACAATACCCATCACACTAACTGTACTGCCTTCTTTAATATACCTACAGTAGCACCAAGAGTAGAACTATATTCAGAGCTGATTATGTGCGTATGAGCAACAAATCCTTCATAGCATCAGCTTAAGAACCGAGTCAATAGGGGTATCACTTCAAAAGGATATGCTTTCTGACAATATATGCGTGTCAAGTATATAATGAAGTGTAATCTGTTACTTATGGCCTGACGAAACCAAAACCCATAAGTATATCCTTACCCTTCTTTCAGTCGCATCATACGATCGTCGCATGAAAGATTCCTCTCCCCCAACCACCTGAGGAACTCGCGAGACATATCCTTGTTTGATGGATTGATGTCAATGACACTGGAGTCGTCGACATAAGGAGTAACCCGTGCACCATAGCCAGTTTTAACTAGAGCTCTCAGTCCAGACTGAAAATCCGAGATGTAGAAATCCACGACATGCCTCTAACATTAAACAAATAAGATGGTGCCATTAGAAATGCAGAAATATCCACACAACAGAGAAGTGACAGCATGTTCCAGATTCCAGTCCATTGGGACTAGAAATAGGCATATGTGGCTATTGTAAAGACAAAAGAAATTGTCAAACTTAAATCAAACTTATTTATGATGAATGAAACTTGGTTTTAAATTCATCATATATGAGAATCGTTGCAAGCTGTTTCAACCACACCATTAAGGCCACCACAATGGTGATCATATTGACTCCTTGCCTCGTCAGAACATTGCTCTGTAGAATGAGTAAAATGTATAGCCAAAAAGCCAAATGACCAAGAAAGATGTTCGAGACTTGAGACATATGCACACATTTTACGGAGAAAAAACATCAAGCCATGGACACATTTTGAACAAACTATTCAATCACGAAAAGGATTCAAAAGAATGCAATGAAATACACAAGGAACATATAGAAACTCACTTCTGCTGATCTAAGTCCCCATGTAAAACGACGATGTGTAGGATTGGCTGCCTTAGAATCCCAACCTCTATACTCATACAGAGCCGTAGATGTATAGACACATCTAGGAACTTTATTGAAAGATGACTGAAGAGGCACATTACCACATGTAATAACCTGAATGAATTATGCATGGTTAAACAGTGTGAGAGTATACATCAAAGTCATCTAACAGAAGAAGTGAAAGAGCACCCTAAAGATGAACTTCTACAATAAACTTGATTGTGAATGCACAAAATACTGAACACAGTTGAGTAACTCAATTGCTAAATATCATCATCGATAAAACCACTAAACTGACTGAGAGTTTAACTTGAACGTCCATGAACTCTCTCTCTCTCTCTCTCTCTCTCTCTCTCTCTCTCTCTCTCTCTCTCTCTCTCTCTCTCTCTCTCTCATATCCATTCTGAGCTACTTGCCTACACCAGGCATAATCGCATTACCCACCGGACTTGCGTACGTCTATTTACTCCCTTGTCCCCTCATCAAGGCAGTCACGAGAACAATGCAAGTCCCCAGAAGCTATTAGATAAGGTTCTTACCCATTGTCTATATTCTTAAAGTCCTCATATGTAAGTTTAAACACTCAGATTTGACCATGTTTCCAGCTAAATGGTCTAAATACAATCATCAGAATGCGCCCTGCATCTTTACACCAAAGTGCTTAAACATTCCCAGCTCCAGTGGTTAGGTCAGTGATGCTGTTATTCCATCTTTACCACCCTCCCCACACATTTAACTTCCGACCTTTCTTCTGCTCAGGGTAAAACTGTCAATTTGGTGCATATAAAGGTACCTCCGATTTTTGCTTCTACAAGCATACAAGGATTGCTTAGCACTATCCACAAGGAGAGAGAATTGCCCATGTCAAAAAACCAAAAATGATTTGCAGAAGACTGGCTTGTAGAAAAATCAAGGTACATGCCATGGTACAAAAAAATTATCAGAAAATCAAAGAACCGCAGGAAAACTCCGTACTTTACAGAGATATGAGATAACCATTCGGGTAAATGAAGACCAAAATGAAACGGCACAAATTAATGAAAAACTGTGCCCATCCCAATATGAAAAGTTAATTAGCACTCTAGCATAGCAAGAGTAATGCATACCCCGGAGACTTTCACGTATTGACCATTTTTCGCGGTTCTGAGATCACTGTCAGGATATTGTGCAATGTATCCTGTGATAGCTTTTCTTGCCCAGCAAGTATTCCAAGTGAACATTGTAGCCACCAAGGCAAAGAGGACCACGACTACGATCAGAAGAATGGGATTGTGGACGGCTCCAAGAATAAACCCACCGGCAATGAATCCCATCACAAATATTAGAATCACTGACCACATAATTGACTTTGGCAGGGTCCTCATGAAAGAAGATTCATCCTCTTGGCTTAGAGTGGTTACGGATTGAAGATGAGCAACAGAACTCTGAAGTTTTACTGATCCAACAGAGTCCAATGGACCAGATACTTTTCGAGGGGCTCCAGATGAATTTAATGGCCCCGAAGAAATAGGTCCAGATGTGATCAGACCTGTTGTTGGAAGATTAGGAGGAATAGGACCAGAGTTTTGACGCGTGACTCCCCCAGCTTGAGGACCAGATGACTTTTTTATAGGCTCCCCATGTTTATTCAGAGGACCGGAATTTGTCTTCTTCAATGAAGCAGAACTAGGTATCTGACCAGAAGTTACAGGGCCAGATGTGGTATAGCTTGCTCGACTGGAAACATTATGCATGATAGGGCCGGAGTGTGACGCAGCGCCCCCAAAAGATCCAGTCCTCGAAGGAGCGCCGGTAATTGGCCCTGATTTCCGCGATTTAGACCCATCTGTAATATCAAACATTTTACCGAGTTCACCTGATTTTTTTATGTCGCCCCCAGTATAGGGCATGGCAACCGAACTCATTGTCGGAGTCTTTTCCTTTGGCTGCTCTTTTCGGCCTGACACATATAGGCCATTGCTTAGCTGATGAGAAGGAAACCTGGAACCCATCCAGCCTTTCTAAAAGAGCCTAGGAAGAATTTCCACAGTCACGCACAGCTCAATCCAAGTTGAAGTGCTACAGAAATTTCTTCTGAAAATGTGGAAATATGCAGCCTTTAGGAGCACTTCCAGAAGATTGAAGCCGAAGTATCTTTGAAGAGATCACAAGCTAGACCTAGTCAACCATACATATGTGAGGATGAGAATGTTGAGAGCAAACTCAAAGGAGTATCAAGTAAGCTCGACATGAGACTGCAGATGGGGGAATGCAAAAGAAGCATCAGAACAAGAAAAATTTGGAAAATACAATCTCAAGCTACAATTCAAGCTAAATGAAGAAGCATGTGCCCCGGCAAAGCTAAAGGATCGGTAAATCATAGCACTATCCTATCCTCGAACTATCCAGAAGATAGACAAAGGTAAAATGAAACAAACAAAAGTTAGATAGGAACATAAGAATAACGTTTTAAGCAGAAAACTTACCACCCATAAAATGAAAGATCAAAAACTTGAACAGACACCGAACAAACTTAAGCAATCAAGAAGCAGAATAACAGGCGAAAATCATTATTTCCAGGAGGCCAAGGGCGAATTATCAAATCACGTGGAATTCATCACTAAACAACTGACCAAGCAAGCAGAAGCTAAACAGAACGAGAAGAGCAGATCTGGAATTGGCATCACTCCCCATGATTTAGACTTGAAAAAATCGTTTGGGTCGAGCAAAAAAAAAAAGTCTCCTTTAAACAGAAAAAGAAAAGGGCACATAAAAGGAAGAAAAAAAAAGGCATAGGGATACATCATCGCCAAAAAGATATGCATTCTCCTTCAAGTCTCATTCTCGAGATCCAAGCGCACAGTAAGAATTAAGCCGAAGCAATGAAAGATAGAAGGGTGAGACTGGTCGCATTCCCTGCATTCACCCATTACCAGAAACCCAACCGGAGCTCAGATTCAACTACCCCAAAAAACCATGGAATCAAGAACAAGTCGCCGAGCTAGTCAAGAGGCACAGCCACTAAGATGGGCACTCACTGAAACCAAGAAAAGAGAGGCAGAGCTCCGGACTCGACGAATTGGGCGTCACCCAGATCTGCAAACGGGGCAACAAATGTGACAAAGAATCTGATCAGCTGTGGCGGGCAAATTCCGCGCGACAGCAGCAACCGATTTGTAGACCCAGAGAGCCAATCAGAGCCGCGCAGAAAATGGAGGACACCCAACAGCAACAGCAATGGCTGCTAACTAACCCGCAATGAGAGAAGGTCGAAACGGATTCGTACCTGTAAAAAAAGCAAACCTTTGCGGTCGGGTGAAGTGGAAGTAGGAGCGAACTTTTGGATTCGCAGCGAGTGGGAGTAAGAGAGAGTGCACAGAGAGAGAGAGAGGGGGAGAGACAGACACTGATGAATCCGACGAATCGCAGTCACAAGTCGCTCTCTCTCTCCTTCAAACAGCCGCAACAGCTGGTGGGTTGTCTCGTCCGGGGGCTATATAGCGACCCTGAGCAAAAACCACCCCACCAAACTCCCTTAAAAAAATTCATTTTTACTCACAACCATAGTCATTACAACACATGCAGACACTCGTTTCTCCTTGTCCGGAAAGTTGCTCTAAGTATGGACACGTTCGCACATTGGAGGGTACGTGCAAGTTGCCTCGTTCACATGTATCGGAAATGAGCCGACATATGTAGCCCCTAAAGTTACACCGGTCTTGAGACACCGCAATTTGTCCCGATTTGATTCGTTTCGAGCAAATTGCTTGCGAAAGAACAGAAACCAAAGTTCTGGGCGACTTGGTTTGGTCCCCCGAGCATTCACAAGACAAAGGCACATGTTTTTTAGGGATATGTTGTCACTTATCTTGATGAAACGGCAGGCTTTTCAAATTCAAAGTCGAGGCTCCTCGATCGCTTCTCTTTGGCAGTTTTGTCATGCTTTTGTCGTTTCTATAATTTTTTTTTCCACCGTGCAACAACCGAAATGTGATGTGATAACTAATGATAAGCCCGTTAATGAAAGGCAATGTGTAACTGGAACTATAACAATGTTAAGAGATTACGACATGGTATCACTCGCTTTCAAGTCTTGCCAATTGCTTTGAATCGAGGCATTTCGAAAGAGAAAGAAAATTCAATCCAAAATCACATCGAATTGAAATCTAGGGCTCCGTTTGTTTTGTGAGAAATAAGTAATTTGAAAAATATTTTCCTAAAAATTATTGTCTGTATCGCTTAAATAATGGGCCAATAAAAAATATTTTTATTATTGACGATAATTTATGTCTATATATTATTGCTGATAATAAAAATATTTTTCGTTCATTTATTTTTGCAAGCGATATCAGTAATTATTTTTTATAAAAATATTTTCAGAATCATTCATTTTTTGCGAAAAAATAGACCTTTAAAAAAAGAAGTTTAGAAGTCTAGACAAACGGAAGCTTGAAATCATGCCCATCATGATTAGGTGCTAAGTAGGAGTAGGAGCACAAGTTACGCAAAGAGTGGAAAGCCAACCTAACGTGCTACCGCCTGCATCATTATTAAAGCTTTTTCACTTCGACTATGCATATGCAATCTTGCTCATTTTCCTACTACTAAATACCAACAAAAAAAAAAAAAAAATACCAACAGCAACAAGCGTTTACCCAAGACAGCTGGATGATGGGGGGGAAGCAGCAAAGCAAAGTCAATTCCTCATGATTCATTCACACTACATTGATCGACTAACCACCGATCATGTCACGACTCTCTCAAAACGATTCCAAGGTCGTTTCTGAATTGAAAAATTCCACGCAGTAAGTGCCTTGAACGCTTTCGCACCAATACCCACATCTGATGCGGACCGGCGATCCGCCGGTCTTTTTATTAGTTACCTCGGCAGCAGAGAGTGACTCAGCGTAATCCCAGAACCTGTTCAGCATGAGAGAGCCGATCCAAATATTCACATACTAGAGATGGACAGAACGTTTGTTTACATGATTTTCATTTCGGACGCAACATGATGATTCAGCATTCCTGCATGATTTTCCATTTCGCCTCGCTTAATTCGTTGCATCGCGAGACTGGAGAGAAGCAGATACATGCAGGAATGCTGCATCGATCTTCCCATCTTGCGTCATATCTCACAGGAAAACAAACACTGGAATGAGATAAACCCACACGAACATGAGCATTGCGTATAAATTAAACTTATGGGTTTACACTGGAAGAAAAGATTTCAAGTTATGTACAAACCATGCAAAACAAACATCTTACATGACTATAAAGCAGTACAAAGAAGAACGACACATTTCGCTCGGCCGGCGAGCATCATGAAGAACACCAGAGTCTTGAAAAAACTACGCTGCCTTCTCCTAGCAATTAACCAGGTCATCTGTACAAGCTCCCTTCTGACCACTTCGCCTGTCAGTCAGTTGATACATCGGCATCCTTTCGACTTCGTCTAGTTCCTGTGTAAAAATGTATGGATTAGTTTCATGACTCCGCAACAGACGGTTACCTAAAACATTAGCAGTCCAAAAAAGAATCGGTTTTAGTGAGATGAAGAAATGAGCGATATCACAAACTAAACATTTTCAATTCGGTACACAAGAATTGCAAGCGCATACATATTGGAAAAGGAGTTTGTGTCTGCTTGGAGAGCTTAAACATTCAACAGCATATCTCAAGAGCGTACGTATCCGAATCTGAAGACAACAAACGTGCAGCTAGTCGATCAACCTGCCATATCACCACCACCACACACACAGTGGACTCCCCCCCAAGAGGACAATTACACCCTTCCAAAACCAGTAGGCATAGTGGAAAACAGCAGATCTTTCGACGAAAACACACTGCTATACTGATCATATCCAGGGAGCAGGGTGAGCATCTAAAAACCACACATTTGGTCCTCTTAAGATCTGTCTTAGCATAAAGACATCCTAATTATCATCATCGACAACCTGGGACTTCGAACCATAGTCCAAAACTCAACCCCCCCCCCCCCCCCCCCAAAGTTCCTAGATCATCGGAAAACCCAACTCAACCGTTAAGCACCCTATCGAGCAGAGAACGGAACCCGTCCTCCAGCGCAATTAAAGACCCAGAAAGTTGACTTGATTGAGATTCAGTTGAGCAACGCAGAGAAGAAAACCCATTCGACACAATGAAGTCACATCCAAAAGCCGCATCAATTCTAATAGACTAGATTTCGCCAAAGATTAATAGAACACATTTGAACACATTTCAAATGTCGCTCCGAATAGGTTGCTAATCATCACAAGGTCACCGAGACACGAACCCGACCCAGAGAAAGGAGAGGCCGCGTCACCTCCCGATGCGAGCTCCGAAGCAGGGGTGCAGTAGCTTCATCCTTCCTCATCCTCGGATTGAGATTCGGTATCCGACGTCTGCGCAGCTTCCTCAGGATAAGCAGACGGAAGCGCGCCTGCAACAAAACATTCGATCAGCTCAAGCAAACGAAACAAGAGGGAATCACCGATTGCACATCCCAGATTCACGAAGACAAGCAACTAATCAAATCCAAATCGGAAAAAAGACCTAGAGGGGGCGGGTGCGGAAGGAAGGAGGTGGGGGGGGAACTACCGTGGATGAAGAAGGAAGAGGAGGGCCAGCCGTGGGGACCGGCGGCGGAGGCGGCGGAGGAGGAGGAGAGGAAGGGGTCGGCGAGAGGGTGGGGGTGGGAGTGGGAGGAGTGGGAGGAGGCGAGCTTGCCGATGAGCTGGGCGATGCCGCGGGACTTGGAGCGGGGGGGGACCCAGTAGGAGGAGCCGGGGCGGAAGGGGAGCCAGTCGGGCTCGGAGCGGCGGACGATGAGGTGGTGGATGACGTCCTCCAGCTTGCGGAGGAGGGGGTCGGAGGGGTCGCCGCCGACGTCCGCCGGGGAGGAGGAGGACGAGGAGGACGAGGAGGAGTGGGGGCGGTGGGCGAGGAGGCGGGAGGAGGACGAGGACGAGGAGGAGGAGGCCTTCATGGAGAAGGCGAGGGTGGGGGAGGAGGAGGAGGAGGAAGGGGAGAGGGAGCGAGCCATCATCATCGTCGTCGTCGAGCTTCACAGAAAGAGAGAGAGAGAGAGAGACAGAGAGAATCTTGGAATTTGCTGGAATGAGAGGAGAGAGAGAGAGATAGTCGGTCGCTTTTTAAGGCAGAGTTGGGTTGGGAGGATGACAGTGGATCCTCGGAGAAGTCGCGAGATTCCGGAGGAAATTGTCCCCAAAATTTTTTTTATAAATTTATTGTATTTTTACCAATTCAGTTCGACATCTTTTAATTATGCCAGTTGAGTTATAAATATTTTTATATTTTGTTTAATTAAGTTCATTCGGCCAATTTTAGTTGGAAATCTCTGACATAAATATCAGCATTGGCCTACTTACATGGCGCCACCGACATTAATGTAGACTAGTTATTCTTTTTCTTTTCTTTTCTTTCTCTTTCCTTTTTCTTCTTGTCCTTCTTCCTCTCGCCTGCGAGGTCGGCCTCTGGCGAAGCTCGTCCTCGAGTGAGCCTTGCGAGGGGCAAACAAAGCTCGTCCTCGCCAGTGGCCAACGAGGCAAGCTTCACCAGATGTTGGTGGCGGCAATGACTAACTAGAGGAAGAAGGGCAAAAAAAAAAAAGTAAGAAAAAGAAAAGAAAAAAGAATAAATAAATGCAAAAATCGAAAAAAAAATTTATTAAAAATTGTCTATGCTAGTACCGACAGCGACACGTAGGACGACTGCACGTCCACATTAGTGATTTCCAGTCAAAATTGGCCGAATAGACTCAATTAGCAAAAAGTGAAAAAGTGTAGGACCCAATTGGCAAAATTAAAATGTTTGTGACTGAATTGGCAAAAATGTAATAAGTTTATGATTTTTTGGACAATTTTACTATTTATTTCTCGGAAAAAAACTTTTGAAAATCCTTATGAATGGGTCTATTTCTCGAAATTCTCCTAAATCTTAGATTTTAATTTAAGATATGTCTAAACTTGATCTCTCCTATTCAATAATTGGGAAAATGACACAAACAGTTTCTGAACTTTGGCTAAATGTGCAATGTAATTCCTAAATTTTTAATTTGTTCAAATGTGATTCTTGAACTTTAACCCAACGTGCAATGTGAAACTTTTAATTTGTTTGATATCGTCTATGAATTTTTGGTACATGATCAATGTAGTCCCTGAATTATATAAAAAAAATATTTCAAACATTTGTTTTTCGGATAAAAAAGCCTTTTTCCCGATTATCATGATGTATTATTAGTCACAGAATTAAGATGCCTAAAATTTTTACATATTCACTTACCAAAGTGCACCAGATTACCATGTGACGATGCTCGTGTAACTCGGCATAACAAATTGTAACTTTATTTGGACCGTTAAAATCGGAGGTGATTGTACCTGTTTCCGTGATCACAGGATAGCACGCCTTCGCACATGGCATATGCCAAAATCAAAGCTTCGTTTTAATCTGTGGGCACGGTGGAGCTCGGACCGTGGGCGATCGCATACAACGCTTTGAAGAGGCCGAGGTCGATCGACAGTATTCTTCATCAGGGTCTTTCTAGATGTCGCACGGCCTCACGATTTATCACCCCATTCGATCCGCGACCGAGTTTAACAGCCACCGATGAGAACATGCCAGTGTGGCAAAACTCGCAATCCGAAATTGGGGGAACATTGTCATCGGTGGTAGCTGAAGCGACACCTCTATAGTCATGATCATCGAATTCGTATAGGGCATTGCTAAGAACATGTCTCTGTTTTATCTCCGACTTGCTCAGCACTCGAATCGAACCAAAGTGTTTGCTAACTTTCGTTTCATGGTGTTTGATCTTTCTGTGAGCAATGTCTGAATTATTCGGTTGCCATCATGACTTGTGTTTCGACAATCTTAATCCGTTCGACGTCAATGGTTATTACACAAATTCTTTGCGCGTTTTTCTTGTTATTGTTCTTGTTCTTTTATTTTTTCTTCAAAAGAGCAGTTCTGAATTCTTGGTGGTTGAATTGAATAGGCGATTGAATTGAAGAGGGTCTTCAAGAATGGTGGAGAAGACAACAGGGAAAAAAGAGGAGGTGGTCGCCGGAGAGTACACCATCAATCTCCACAAGCGCCTTCATTACTGTGGCGGGCTTGCTTGGTTTTTCATTTGGGACAAGAAAGAGAGATACATGCTCAAAGATTGTACAGAATGACAGAAACAGAAAACAAGAAAGACAGAAGGAAAGAAGAAAACGCTTGAAGCACTAGCCAAGGGAAAGTGTAAAAAAGCACAAAGAGTCTATAAACATTTCCTTTTTACAATGATCCTGGCCGAGGAGCACAAGCGCAAGCTCCACGTTCAAAAAAGTCCCGATACAAAATGAGTTATTTTTTACTCCTGCCCTCTCATCACCATATGTTTGTATCGGTTTATATAATCAGATTTGCCAAAGCATCAACAAATTACGAAAATCTGTACTGTGACCAACTCTCTTTTACAGCTGTTAAGTTTTTGGAACCTTACAGTGTGTCGCGCGTTCAAAGAGGATAACAATTTTTGCTTCCAAAGTTCAAGCACATGTACAAACCAACCGACCAAAGGAGCAAATTAGACCTGGGATGAAGAAAGGAACATAATGAGATTTAAGCAAAACAAACCATAACAGTTGAAAGATCACCGACAACTCAAAGAAAGAATCGGTGTGTCTTGTATGGCAACATGAACATAAATTGGAAGGATTCAACAGCAGAACAGCAAGAGGACCCGAGCACAAGACTATAAGTAACCTTTGGTTATATGACTGCCCCAGTCCCCAGAGATTTGACGCTAGATCTCTAGATTCTACAAGACCACAACTACATAGATTACTGTGCGCATGCATGTCCTCAAGTCAACTAAAAAGTCCACGTCTAAGAATTTAGAAGATGAGAATGCATTCTTACACGATATTATTACCAGATTTATTCAAATCGAGAACCGTATATGTTTCTCTCATGACATGGAATCATCTCTATTCCATTTTATAAGGTCCAGACGATGCCTACTTCACTTGGAAATAAAGCTAATGAGAATCAGTTCGGATACATGTCACCCTCAACTCAATAAGGCACTTTTCATGTTATTGCACTTTTCTTTTTGCTATCAGCAACTTCGTGAAAGCAGTTCAAATGTCTTTGATGGAGACATCCATCCACCCTGGCCCTAACACCCTTCCCCCCTTTTATCTTCCTTTGTTTCTCCATCACTTCTCTCATATGCAAAGGTAAAGTCAAGTCTCATGAAGTAATTAAGGTCTTATAAAAAACTTACACATCAACGAACCAAAATAAATTAAGACAGTTTCTGTTCATTAATTTAAAACTGAAGACACAATTAGACCTTCAAGCACCAGTGAAAGATAGAATACTCACATATCAACATGAACAATATACTCACAATTATCTTTGAGCTAATAAAGGCCCAACATTCGTAACTCCGTCACATGGCTATGATCGAGTTCAGGGACATCCTTCATTTTTTCACGGTCTTCCACTACGTATTCCTGACATATAGAATGAAGGTCATTCATGAACACGCTCAATAATTTACAATGGGCACTGCCACAAAGGTTTAATATGTGATATGTGCACGTGTGGAATATGGACTTAACCGGCAAAAAGCCAAGCACATATTGATTCAGCTCCCACAGAAACGTGAGAGAACCAGAGACCGCTGAATTTGGCTAATCAAGGTTAAAGATGTTTTATGTTTCTTCCGCCCTTCAACATGTACTTAATTGGCAAAAGGGCAAGCATTTACTGATTCAGCTACCATAGGAAATGATAGAAAACTATAGATTGCTGAATTTAATTGAGAACAATTTTATGTATTCACAAAACAATAGAAAACCCAATTTGAAACTAAGAGGAATTCATTGTTCAAATGGTAACATGGTAGGTCATTTGTAAAATTCTTGTTATGGCATGATATGCATTACTTTGCATTTACATGATAGAGACTAAATACTGCCTCTCAATCCAATGATAAACGCTCTCATATCATGATTATGACATGCTCTGCTTCTGTATCAGTGAACACCACTATCTATCTTTACTATCATCTCTGAAAGAGGTTTGATAACTAAAAGAGCAATGAATGCTACCCTGCTGCGACAATCAATATGTAATTCATCAGCAAATTCAATGTTACTCCGAAAAATTTAGTAGACCTTTGTCAGTTCTTGTTTGGCAAGAACATGATAATGGCGTTCATTGATCCTCTGTCCACATATTATCGCTATAAAGAAGCCATAGAGCAAACCCACCAAAACAATAGCCAACACTGCACAATTAAACCAAATGTGTACATTAGAAGATTCTGGACCTCAAAAGTGATGCTTAAAGAAAAAATGACAATAAGATATCCCAAAGATCAGATGAAGCAAATTTATTTTTCGGATTACTCTACCCATGCCAGTTAAACTTTTCCCACAAAAGGCAACAATTTATAATTTTGAGATGCATTTATATGTCTGCAACATTGTCCTTTTAGACTAAACACAGTGACATGAAACCCGTATCTCTTCTAGAGAATGTCCTACTTTTGGCTACAAAAAGATTCTTTTAACTAGAAAGAATTCAACTTAGATGTAGGGTGTGGAAAATTAAGTCGCAATGTAGCACACAACAAGGCGTAATTCCAATATTTTATACAATTAAAGTAATATCACAATTAATTGCAGATAACTAACCCATACGAATTTACGTTGGTTCAGAACATTGCATGCAATAATGCCATATTCCAATCATACTCAATGATGTATGGATGCTTATTTTTCTATGAGAGATGGAAGGAGGGAGAAAAATGTTCATTGGTAGAGGTGCCGTTACCAGCCATTGTGTAGAAGCCATATGGGTGTTCTTCGTAACCAAACATTTCCCTTAATTCCTCCCCATAGAACTTGTATACCAGCACACCCAAGGATGCAACAATCTGCCATGAAAATGCTATTATAGTTCACTTTTGACCTTTATAAATCACTAAGGATGGTAAACATCTGATACAGGTAGAGAAACACAAAATTCTACTCAAACATCTTATAGTTCAACATGTGATGTGTCAAAGCATTAATTGCATTCCTATGGAGTCAGGTTAACATAAGCAAAATAAAATCAGCTCTCCTTACGTGACGAAAAGGATAGCAGATCGTTTCAACTTTCAAAATTATCAAAATCTGAACTGAGCATATTTTACCTTGCTGTAGCCATCTTTACAGAAATTGTCTGACTTTATGTCATAGTTGAAAATTCGCTAGTCTTTCTAGTCTATCCAGAATCAGCAGCATCAAAACCACGAATTTCTACCTACTAGACGATAAGGCTTAGGAGTATGGTATTTTCAGACTACATAGACCAAATTGCTTCCTGAAAAGTTGTGCATGACTGATTGACAGTGCTTCAAAAGAAAGCAGCAAGTGGTTAAATTCAGTTGCAGCATTCAATGTTTTTTTAAGGAAGAAGGGATGAAAGAGAATAAGCAGACTGTGCACCTGCCCTATCAATGTTTGGATTAAGGCCAACTGCAATCTACAATTAAATGATTACTTATACAGGAAATATATGCCAAAACTAAGTATAAGATCAAAGTTCAACTTAAAAGTGAAAGATGAAATTCTATTTAGGCAGTTGAATGCTGAAAAATTAGTATGAGAGCTTCGTTGTTGTAAATATATTTATCCACGCATGGAATTAACTGAGAAGTAAAGTAAAATGCAACGCTTGTTGCCACTGCTTTCAACGGAAAATCCAAAGCATTAATATACCTTAAAAGCATATTAGTCCCAATAGATGAAATAAGATTGATACACAGAAAGTTAACAGAAACGAATGATCATTTATTCTCTTCATATCGTTCTTGAATAGAAAGATTCGGTTCATGTTGCTAGTATAGAAGGTTTTGCATGCACATGCCCTCGGATGATGTTCAGCAGGCTACCTTCCAACCATTTACTTTCAAATGCATAACCATCAGACGTAATGCAAAACGCATGTGTCGTCCAGCTCAAACCCTTTAGTCGTACAGCATAAACCCATTCAAGAATCAACCTTTAAAGTTCAAGTTCGTTACCTCTGGAGCAGACTTTCAATGCGTTTAATAATGTTATAATACATGCATATGGATTGATCCACTTGTTCAAATTCGAAGCTGGCAAATTTTGCCTAACAAGTACCCAAACTGGACAAAGCCCTTAAAAGTTTGGACAAGTACATTAACTTTATGGGTCTTCACTGTCTAACAGCAATGTTAGGTCTGTCCACCTTGCAAATCATACATCATAAATAAGGTACATCAGAATCAGTTCTCAATCGATGTGCTCCCCAAAAATCATTGATGTATGGTCAAGTTTGCAAAAATGCAGAAGCATCAATTCAAAACCAGCAATGAACAATATACCTTCTCTAGACTTTACAGTACACAATAATAGACTCACAATAGAGCGAGTAACAGTGTGAAATTCACACCATTCAAATGTATGGAGACAACGCCATAATTCAGAAAAGTAGCAGGATAACTAGCCTAAGAGGTTCCGCTTTCTTTCATTTTAACAAACATATCAAGTTCATTTGGCAAAAATTATTATACCAGCTGAACGACTATAAATATGAGCGCATGATCCCGAGCGACGAGGAATTGGAATTTCAATCTCAGCCACCAGCGATCGGCTGGAACATTTGCGCGAAGCAGGAAAACTGCCCTGCACTCTGTACAGTGAGAAAAAGCAAAACCCTCCTGGCATGGTGGACAAACAACTCATAAGTAAAACCACTCCACACGAGATTTACAGAAATTACACTAATTGAATACATCCAAAAAACCAATCTACAGAAATGGCATTTTATAGAAGCTAAACAAAATCTAATCTATAACTCTCATCTCCAAGAGCAGAAAATTGCATATCATCCCCTTGGCAATCACACCGAGGAGATTTCAGCAAAGGAACAAAAAAAATCACCTTAGTGGCCCTCCAATTATCAAGACATGATCTATGGACATACTTTTGGGTTCCTTTGCAATGGCATGGAGCAATCAAGTCCTCTCCTGAAAAATTAAGAAAAAAATAGCTTCAACAATTTGTAGCAAAATGAAGATGGTCACACAAACTTCAGCAATCAACTTCTTTTTTTATTTGCCACTAACAAGTCCCCTCCACAACTGTACCACAAATCTACATGCTCACAGAGAGAGAGAGAGAGAGAGAGAGAGAGGTGCTTTCCCACCCTGGTGACAAGAAAAGACTAAGAATATAAAAGGATATTAATAAAGGTAGCAAATAGGGACCTCCATTTTCAAGGCATATGCGACACTGTGGTTGGTCTGTATGAACCAAACAACAGGTTTCATCGACATCAAGATTTTCTAAATCATCAACAGCTACAGCAAATTCCCCTCCAACAGTTGTTATTTCGGATGAAAATGAAGATCCTTCAGATCTCTCCACAACATCAGACCGCTGCAAAATGGGTTCATTTTCTGTAGCATCTTCCCTATGACTATCATTAGCTGCTAATTGCATCGCGAAGAATAAAGAATCAGGACTGGACAGCAACTATCATTGCGAGCCCTATGGTTCCCGCTGACCATTTCAACAGCAACTCAACTACCTGGAAGTCAAAAGGAAAAGTTACAGCATCAGCGAAAGAGGATCGATTATAAGTGTCAAAATTTAATTGTACTAATTCATCACTTCATCTGCGGATCAAGATTCACTATTCGCCCCCACTGAACATCAGACAGTTGATGTCTCAGTTGATTCGACCCTGCTTTGACGTGACTTATCATGAAAAACTGAAAGACATGCCAGTGAAAACTCAAGGCTACTCTCGAACGACCGATTATTACTAGAGAAAGAAATATCTCCAGCTTTTTTGCCAGACTTCTTGAATGCCGATTTCGCAGCACTCAGCCTAGAACTCAAAGAAACCGTCGGGCCTCAGACGTAGTTCTCTACGCCCTGATACGGTGAATACGCAACTAATATCTACAAATGCATGCGGCACGAAGAGCTTCGTGAGCCGCCTAAAACCATGAAGGCCTTTCACCGAGAAGGGAAGAAATCCCTGCCCATCAATGGTTGGCCATCCGTCCCTAACAAGAGGAAATTGGATGGATCAATAGGCGTCGCCACCCGCCACTCCCGCCCCAGAAAAATTAACCCTCATTAGGATCAATCCCATCGCTAGCTTGTCCGCATATAAACAACCTTCGTAGCTAGGAGAATACGCACGGGGTATATACACAGGCCACCTCCAGGCATGGACGATGATCCATTGAAGAGGAAAAAACTCGAAAGAAAAACGAAAACAAAACAAGAAACCAAGGCCAGCCGCGTTGCTCTCGATCGGACAAAAAAACCGAGCAACAACGACATCGGAAATTCCCCCGATCACCGAACCGCGGAGGAAGGCCCGCGAGCACGTCGAGGCGGGCGGGAACGCAATGCAGCACGGAGTCAACGCAGAAACCGAAGCTCGGCGCCCCCCCCCAAAGCACAACCAGAATTCAGCTCGGGAAAGCAGTGGAGAACGCGAGAACGCGGGAGGCTCACCGGGGGCTGACCTGCTGGGGGTCAACATTCGGGGGACCTTGACGGGGTTGCACCGACATGGACGGATCGCCTCGCGGGTGATTCGGAGGACAATCTCGCGGCTGCGCCGCGGGGGAGGGAGTTGAATCCTAGGGTTTCGAGATCGACGCGAACGAGAGAGGGAGAGATTCAACGACGCGACAAGGAAGAGAGAGGGAGCTGGACTTCGGACAAACCGAAATGGGAAGGATATATATGGTAACGATGGAAAAATCGGGAAGGTCGTCGCCGTCGTTCTCTCTCGAGGATGACTAAACTAATAATAATAGCAAGGGCGGTCGTAAAGTTACGCGGCGTGTGGCGAGTGATCAGATGACGGACCAATGGATGGCAGGCAAGCAAAGAAAACGTAAAATTGAGGAAAAAAAAAATTTGGAAAAAATAAGGAAAACACCACCAAAAACCCCAAACTATGCCACTCGTGATAAATTTACCCTGAATTTTTTTTTGTGACACGAAAAACCCAAAACTATGCCATTTATAATATATTTACCCCATATTACTTTGACCTTTGACCCAAAGGCATTTTCGTCTTTTTCCTTTTTTTTTTTCTTTCTTTCTTCTCTTTTCCCTCCGCCATGGCCAGCGGAGGGAAGTCGGCAAGGGCGGCCCTCACCGGCGTTGGGGTTGGGCAAGGGCGACTCTTGCCCGACGCCGGCAAGGGTTGCCCTCGCTAGATCCGGCGAGTGCAGCCCTCGCCCAACCCCAACGCCGGTGAGAGCCGCCCTCGCCGGCTTCCCTTCGCCATGGCTGGCGGAGGGAAGAGAGAAGAAAAAAAAAAGGAAATAAAAAACATAAAAAGAAAAAAAGACGAAAATGCATTTGGGCCAAAGTATTGTGGGGTAAATACATCACAATTGGCATAGTTTTTGGTTTTTCGTATCATAAAAAGAATGCAGGCTAAATTTGTCACAAGTGGTATAGTTTGGGGTTTTTGGTGGTATTTTCCCAAAAAATAACAAACATGATTTTCCCAATTTTTGCATTAAACATAGAAACTCTCGCTTTTTGGTTCTTGTCGTTTCTTGGAAAACACCCGCTTTTGCCGACATACATGCAACCCTACTAGTAAAAGAATCGAGACATGGGGACGAAGAATATCAAGTCCGAAGTTTGATCTGCGTGAGCATGGCACACATTTATACATAAAAGAGAGTAGTGAGATATAAAAAAAACTATTTAGACGTGAATAAATCCTAGTATGGATAACCTATGCCACATTAGCCAACTTCGCACGAACTGTCAGGGCGGGTCTCGTGCGATCCGACAACTCGTGTGAAGTGAATTGACATGAGCCGGAAGTATCTAATAATTCTTTCTTCCCGATCAATCTCTCGAAAATATAAATATTTGTTTGGGTAATAACACAAATGATTCGTGAACTTTAAACCCAATGTGCAATGTCGTTCCCGAAATGTATCCCTAAACTTTCGGTAAATGTTCAATCTAGTCCATAAACTAAAATATCCAATGTTATCCTGCCATTAATTCAAGTTTAGAGATGACAAGGGATTAAATTGAATAAAAATTTATGGATCACATTGAATAATTTAAATTTAGAAACGATATTGCACATTAGAGCAAGATTCATGGACCGCGTTGCATAAATTAAAATTCAGAGATGACATCGCAAAATGAGGCCAAAGTTCATAAACAGGTTGCGCTATTTTCCCATATTTTATTTTTGGTCGCTGTTATTTTTCGGTGTTTGTTTATGGGTATAACAGGACATATTGGACTTTATTTTAATTTATTTTTCGTAGCGTAAGCCGTTGAGTCCAGATTCATTAAATTTTGGACGTGTATGCCCTTGAGATCTTCTCTGTTTCCGTTGTTGCCCTCCTTTGGCCGTTCGAGTTTGAGCGACCGCTAAAGTAATAGGGGTGAGTAAGATGGACCGCTCAAACCGGGATCGGATCGATCGGTTTGGTCCAGTTCTCGGGATAGGTCCGGTTCCCGGTTCTTAAAAGTGGAACCGGTTTCCAAGCGGTCCGGTTCCCGGTTCTAGGATGGGAACCGGATCGGACCGATAAATATATATTTTTCTAATTTTTTCATATATACAATATTTAATATATATATATGAAAAATGTTTAATATTGATCCCATTGGAACCGATTGTTCAAGTTTTTCATATATTATAGATATTTTTCCAATTTTTTCCATGACCTTATGAGATCAAATCAGAACTATAAAGGAAAAAATGAAGCAATCGATTCCCAATTCACAAATAATATTTAATATTTGTCCCTTCAGTCCGGTCCACGGTCCCAAGACTAGCCGGTCCGATCTCCGATCCTAGAAATTGGGAACCAGTCATCTCGGTCCAGTTCTCGATTCTTGAGTTGGACCAGATCAGGCCCGGAACCACTCACCCCTATAAAGTACAAGGTTAAATGGGCGAAGCGTACTACTTATGCTAAGCTGGCCCAAGGTGCCGTATACAAACAATTTGTCTTTAAGAATTCACTTGAAATTTAAGTTTAGGACAAAATTCACAAAAAAACCCTTAAACTATACATTTATCCTAAACTTTCTTACGTGACACTAAACATTTTGGAAACTGGGGATCGAACCGGTTGGTCTTAGGAAATAGAACCGGTCACTTAGGGTTTAGTTTACATTTTACTAATTTTTGTTAATGAATTTATGTCAATGAAGTTTACTTAAGGTTTAGTTCATATTTTATTAATTTTTTTGAACAAATAAAAAAAAACAGTATATGTAGTCGGTTCGGTCTAGTTTCCCCTTGGAACCGGGAACCGAACCGGCTGGTCACCGATTCCACTTTTAGGGAATAGGAACCGGATTGACACTCCTGGAAAGCGGATCCAACCAACCGGTTCGGTCCCGTCCAAATGATTCCTAGTTTGGGCGGTCCGTTTTGCACACCCCGACTAAAAATCTCAAATTTGTGTCCGTGTGAAAATTTTGTTGATGAGAAGCGTTAAAAATCCACTTACATGGACATTAGAAAGCAAACGGTGTTGACATGGAGCACACGTGGCTTAAGTAAAATAAAAATCAATGTTGTTTTTGCTGAAAAATCATTCAATGAAATTTTGATGAAAGGTAAATGTGTCACATATATGCAAGTTTGGTTTACGGTGGTGGGTATGGTTTGGAGTTTTTGATGTCGAAAAAAAAGTTTAGGGTTAAATGTGCTATACTAAGTATTATTTAGGGTTTTTTTGTGGCTTTTTACTTTAAGTTTAAATAGACAAATTTTGTTGACTCGGCAGCTTTGATGAGATATTTTTATTCACTTAACTCTCTTCAGCTCTTATTTTTACGGGATATAAATTTTGTTGACACAACGACACTCGGTCTAGGGAACTACTTGAAAGCTGAGGGACATATATAACATCGAACAAAAATCTGGGTAGCTAATTCCGATAACATTGCACATCAAACAAAAGTACGAGGCTTACAGTATCGTTATCCAAAATCGGAACGGTGAGGTTAATAAGTTAAAACATGTTGTGATGAACCCTAGAGTTGCATTAGAAGCTAGATTAGCACTTTAGATTCTTAATTACAGCAAAGCCTTGCTCGATCGTGCATTAGGATCGAGGCCGACCAACTCACTCACAAGTCACTTGCTCGACAATGGGCTCGCAAGGACTCAAACTTGCTCTGTTAGAAATATATTACTAATTTTGTGTATATCTCGTATCGTAATCTCGTTATCCTAATTAACTGTAATTTCTGTTGTAATATTACATTACTATAAATAGACATCTTGTAAAGCCCATAACAGGTTGGTGTATAATTCATTAATACATATAGAAATTCAATATTTTTATTTTCCACTTTATTCTTATCATGGTATTAGAGCCATTATAGATTGAGAAAACGCTCATTTAAGTCTATTACGAGATGGTGGTCGCAGCAACATTATTTCAGCCGCATCGTTATTCGTGTTTGGTCAAACCCGCTATTCTTGAGTTCTGTTACGTCACTTTCTGTTTCTTCTTTCGCAAGACTGACACCACCGTCAGACTCACCGTCATCACCGTTCGCCATCGCTCGCGCCTCCATGTCTTGGATTCATTGACCCCGACGACTTTTGATGCTATTTCGACACTTTGTGTATCCTATTTTGCAATATCAACACCACCATCCGCTTCTTCATCCTCTTGCGAGATAGGATCTAGGAAGATCGTCAATGTTTGATGTTGTACATGCCCCCACGCGCCAGCAGCCCCCTCCACAAAGTGAAATCTATGCGTCACGTCCCTCTCACGTGAATCGTTGCGCTCACTGGGCAAAGGGACGTCATTTGCCACGTTAGTGCCACTATAGCCACGTCGTCGACACGTGTTTGCCACGCCAGCCTCCAACCATGACTATTGATTGCATTAACTCGCCGTTGACCTTCATCGATCGGGTGTTGACTCCCATTGACCGGTATCGACCAAAACGATTTGCCTACTTTTTCAACCGGTGCGACTCGTTTCTGACCGATCTTGGCGTTTTCCAACCGGTTTGCAAGGTATTGCGACGTCTTGAATCTATTTTTGGTCTTATTTTCTACGTATCAGCTCTGTAAAGTACCGATTTTTTATGAACTCATTATAGAATCTACCGGGTTTATACTAATATATTGCATATTATGGAAAATTTTTGAAGTTTCAATACCCATTCAAACCATTTTGAATGGATCCAATTATATTTTATTGGCTCAAGAAATATCTATTTTTTTGGAGTCATTGGTGCTATTCGTGCACCTACTCATATTACTGGTGAAGTTGAGGAGAAATTTAATGAACGCTTGGAGGCTTAGTGGACTGTGATAATAAGAATCATCAGATCCGTTTCCAAACACTTCTATTTATTCTATCAGACTTCAGTTTGGTCGTCTTATTACGACAAAGGTAGCATGGGATCTACTTTACTGCTTTCAGGATCTCGTTATGTTGTGATTTTTATTGATGATCATTCTCGTTATGCATGGCTTTATCCTATAAAGAATCGCCTTGAACTTACTGATATCTACGTGATTTTGTTGCCATGATTAAAACACAATTTTCTCAAGATATCAAAATTTTTCATTCAGATAATGCCATGGAATGTAGAGATACAGAGTTTCTTCGAATTATTTCTTAAAATGGTATCATCATTCATCGTTCGTGTCCAGGAACTTCCCAACAAAATGATCAAATAAAGCGCAAACATAGGCATATCTTAGATGTTG